TCAGCAAGTGCAAGAAAACGTTAATGTTATAATGGCTTACTCGAGATCCAATTCACACACCGATCTCAAACTGGAACCTATAGTGGAAGGAGAAACAATGAGAATTCGTCTCATATTAAACATCGATGGGGCCAAAGTTAGGGCCTCTCACCGTGAGTCTGCCTACCCTGTGTGGATAGCGTGTGCTGACCTGCCACCCAAACTTAGGTCTTCTTTTGCTAATATTACTTTATGTGCCCTATGGTATGGGTTTGAATTTAGTGATTGGGATTTCGTATTTAACTACTTAAAAAAACGAAATCAGCCAGCCAGCTCAAATAGTTCACGAGAACCGAAAATATGACCTGAAGTTCATAACAATTATGCTGATAGCTGATCTTACATGCAAGCCGAAATTGCTGAAAATGAAGCAGTTCAATGGATACTATGGTTGCAGCTTGTGTGTTATGAAGGGAACGCCACAAAGCATATGTTCACAGTTATTCACACCAAGAAGAAATTGTAATGCGAGGATCCCAGCAAACATACACACCACTTATCAAACCCAAATGACCCCGAACTTGAGACTCGTGGTATTCGAGGGGCCTCAACATTCTTTGCGATGATCGAAAATTTGCCACTAAGTAGCCCAATTGACACGATGCACCAAGCACTGAAAGGTGTTGCCTGCGATTTGCTGAAATTTTTATATGAAACTTTAAGCTGTGTACCTGAAGTAGAACCTTGGATTAAAGATGTCTCGCTCCCATCTGAATTCACCCGCGCCTTACGTCCTCTTAATAGACTTAGTGTTTTCAAGGCCTCTGAGTTGAAAATTTTTCTGCTCTACTTTTCGCCAATAGTTTTCGCGCCTTTCATGACTGAGCATCAAGGAAACCTTCGAGACTTGAGTTACATAGTTTATGCACTCAGGTCTCTTTATGAATCAGACCATCACGCTGATCTTTGTGGTGTTTTATTGGAAGCAGCGTGTCGAAACCTCTCGAACAAGTACCCCATGAGGGGATTTGATTCTATCAATTTCCATCTTCTGAGGCATCTTTCATGGCAATGTAAGACATTTTGGTCCTCTTTGGACGACTTCAGCAACCCAATTTGAGTCTGCCAATCATCATTTGGTTCGACCTTTAACAGGAACTGTTAATACCTGTCGACCTCTAGTGCAACTTTATATCAGAAATAAACTGTTGCATCAAACTCCGATTGAACGCGATCCCTTGCAGAGTTTCAC